ACACACACACACACACACACACACACACTCACGCACGTGTGTGCGGGCATATACAGAGCTCACTGCCACCCTCCCCACCTCAGCAAAACCAAGCAGGTAAAAACCAGTGATAAAAAAAACCTTAAAATTAGTGTAAGAAGACCCCTTAACTAAAAAGAACAAAGATAAACACTCTGTAGAATTACTATCAGAAGTTATCTAAGCCAGAACAAAACTTCTTCTGGAAACTCTGGGGATCAAACCCAGGTCTCACACATCCTAGGCAAGCATGCTACTACCAAGCCGTATGCCGAGCCCTAACCATCGTTAAAAGGCTAGAAGAAAGTGTGTGCCTATAATTTGATATTCAGTGACAATATCCTTCAAAAAGGCAAAATGAAATATTATTTTTTCTTTTATTGAGTTTATTGGTACATTTTAGGTATCTTAGGTATTCCAAAATGAAATATTATTAAACAAAAGTCAAAGAATTCATCATTGGCAGACCTGAAATAAAAGAATCATTAAAGGAAATTCTCTAGGCAAAAGGAAATTATACCAGATGGAAACTTGGGTCTACACAAAAAAATGAATAATGTTAGAAACTGTAAGCATGCATACTACTATTTTTTTTAAATTTCTTCCAATTTTCGAATCCCTCTAAAAGATAGTCACTGAAAGTAAAAACAAAAATTTTATAAAGTAGAATTATATGTTAACAACAGCACAAATGGCGGGAGGCTTAGATGGAAATTTATTATTACAAGGGTCTTCTTATAACTAAAATCATATGATGTTATTTAAATGAATCTTGTGATAAATTAAAATGTGTGTTTTAAACCTCTGCACTTTTCAAACTATAATCTAAGGACCCACAGGCTGCCTAAGACCTTCCCAGGGGTGAAACAATCAAAATTATTTTCATACTCAGTTGCTATTTGCCTTTTTTGCCCTCATTCTATCACAAACTTACATTGCAGTTTTCCTGAGGTGGCATCGTATGTGTTATCACAACAGACTAAATGAATATATGGAAACTCAGCTACCAAGCAAGAAATTTAAGAACATGCCAAAAATGTAAAACACGAACATTCTTCTCAGTAATTTTTTTGCTTTGGAAAATAAAAGTTATTTATAATAGTACATGCTATATTGTTATTTTTAGAAAGATTCCTATCTTTAACTTCAAAATTTTAATTTCTATTATAATAAAGATTTCTAATATAATAAAGACAGTATAACTACATACATTAAGGTCTTTTAGGTCTTCAATATTTTGTAAAAGCGTCCTGGCTCAAACACCAAAAAGCTTTTTAACTGCTGCTGGCCAGAAGAAATCTCTAAGGGAGAAAAAAAAAAGAATTTTATCTAATAAGCCAAGCAAAATGTCAGATTGATCAAATAATCCAATATAAAGACAGATTTCTCAGAATGATTTTTTTTTTTTTTTTTTTTTTTTTTTTTTTTTGGTACCAGGGATTGAACTCCAGACCTTGCACTTGCAAGGCAGGCAGCAGAACCACTGAGCTAAATCCCTGGCTCTTTTCAGAATGATTTTTAAATGGTAACATCAAATTCTATACTGTCTAAACAATCCTATTTTAAATATAAAACAGGCACTTAAAGTATGAAATATATATATATATATATATATGTAAACACTAATCAAAAAACATTGAAGTGGCCATATTAATATAAAAGTAAGTAGACCTCAGAACAAGAAGTATTATTAGAGATAAAGCGGATAACATGATATCACATTATCATGAACCACAAAACAAATATCAGTAAACATCAACTACTGAAATCAAAGTATGTATGTTGTTTGACTATATCAGAATTAAATTATCAATCAATAATAGGAAGACATTTGTAAAATCCCCGAATAGTAGAAAATTAAACAACATGGTTCCAAATAACTCATGAATCAATGAAAAAATTACATAGGAAATGACAAAATATCTTTAAGTGAATGAGACTACAGCAGATCAACATTTATAAAATGTAGCTAAAATAGTAATTATTAGGAAGGTTTTAAATTTTAAATGTTTATATTAGAAATTAAGAACAAGCTAAAATCAGTAACCTGTGTTTTCATCTTGGCAGGGTAGAGGGGAGCAAAACTAAAGTAGAATGCAGAAATAAAAATAATAAAGGAGAAAATAGACAAGTAGAAAAAATATCATTAAGATCCTAGTGATAAAATGATAAGCTTTTTGCTAGACTTATCAAAATTGAAGGAAAGAAGGCAAATCACTGACATCAAGCATAAAAGAGGAATGTTAAGTATACAGCAAACATTAGAAAATTAGTAATAAAGCAATATTACTAATTTTATGTGAAACACTTAATAACTTAGATGAAATGGATAAATGATACTAATAAAATTGACTAAAGAAGAAATAGATAACCTAAGTAACCCTATAGTAAAGAATTTGAATCTACAATTTAAAAATCCCTCCTCAAAACTTCAGGCCCAGATAGATTCACTGATAAATTTTACCAAACTTTTGAAAAAGAAATAATGCCTCAGTTCTTAAAAGCCAATGGCTTAATTTTGCTTATGTGTGTTTTACAATGTTTAAATGATTCTCTAAATTCTAACTCAGTCACTTCCTAAGAGGGCATGTGTAGCAGGTACTAAGAGCACTCATTAATTTTATGAATATCTAATATTTCCAATTACATTATTTTGAAAATACCTAAGGGAACAATCTACCCCCTAGATCATGCAATTGCTTTTTATTATACTTTTAGTCATGATGACCAAAAAGCATTTTTAGAAATGAGGGTTGTGCTATAAAGTAAAACATAATGTTTGACTATGTTCGTTTAATGTGCAGTCAATAGGTATTTATGTACTGGAAAAATGCTAGAATTGTCTTCTGTAAATATTAACATACTTAATAGAGTACCAATCTCAGAGGTTGTAAGAATTGGAAAGCTCCATTCCATAGCAATTGAAAACATACAGGGCCTCAAGTTGAGCAAATGAATATATATCATTAGCACATTTAGGCAAGACTTTATGGTTATAAATACTTTAAACGATAAAAACCAATGGATCATTTTCTGCAAAAGATACAAGGAAAGGAAGTTTACCAGACTTGTTCCATACTCTTCCTCTGACTAGTGGCAAGCATAGGCTTGAAACAGCCACATATGATCCTTTCATTTTTCTCAGTTCTATCCATTTGATTACTCAGATTTTTCAAATTGAAGTAGAATTAAAACATTGTCACCAATACATTAGTAAATACAGAACTAGAAGAAATCATATCAGATTTCAATGCTTTGGTAATTTCTTTATACATACACTAAGAACACAGGAAGAGTTGAATAATCTCTACTGTAAAAAAAGTTTGGTAAGGAATTACACTTTCATGATGTGTAGATTACTATGTAGCAGTAGCTAGTAAATTCCCTGCGGCCCAACTACCCTAATCCTTGATGTATACCAGGATACTATGTACCTAACTAGAATGTATATGAATACATCTCATATTTTTTACAGGGAATAATCTGGTCTACAAGTAGGATGATGCATACATAATTTTGTGGTAATTTTATACAAGAATTATAAAATTATTTCAAAATAAAACAGAAAAAAATTTTAAAACCCCAGCAATACAAGAATAAATAAATAAAAGAATTACCACACCACAGTTAAATGACCTAGAACATGTTCTGCACTAATACCACCATACTAACTTTAAAAATAACTCTGTGTTAAATTTTGTACAAATATGTAAGCAATAAAAGTTTAAAAATGCAGAGTGTATAAATAAACGCTAAATTCGGGCATCTGAGTACAGTAGGGAAGAAGAGAAGGGTATGGAATTTCCGAAGGCTGCTGTAAGAGGCTTTGGGCTAAAGATACAGCTCAGTGGTGCATCGGCCCCAGGTTCTATTCCCAGCAATGAAAAAAAAAAAAAAATTGAAGGAGAAGAAAATGAAAGACTCGATTGCAATTGTGCTTGGATCAAGTTTTTATATGACTGAGTGTGTGTGTGTGTGTGTGTGTGTGTGTGTGTGTGTTTTAATTTAGGACTTGACGGATGGGTGCTTTTTCATTCTACTTATTTTGCTGTTTCATTTTTCAAGAAGAAAAAACATTTATCAGATACTTCAAAACACTATGTCTATTAACAAACTATTTTTTTTCTAAAATGACTAAGTGAATAATTTTAGCCATGTCTAAACTGTTTGCCTACAACAACACAAGCGGACCAGGAAAAAAAAAATAAAAGGGATTGGTCTACACAGCCAAAACCCAAGCCAGAGCTTCCTGGCCAGTGAGAGAACACTTGCTTCTGGCTGAATTTCGGAGACCCTTGTCCTCCCTTTGGCTTCAGCTGGGAACCCTGGACTGAAGACACAGAGGCAAAAAGGCCCAGCGTTCCAGCTACAAACACCGGGCGAGCAGCACAGGACTGCTGCCAGGTGTAAGAAAGTACACAGAGTAGCAGACACGCGCGGGTCTGGACGCCCCTTCCCTGCTTCCACCTTTAAAATAACCACTCAATCCCTGAAAGGCATCGGAAAGGCAAACTATGAGGGGACAGGGAGTGGATAGGAGATGTCTGTCGGCTTGTAGGGGTTTTATTTAAGGACAAAGAGTAAGACGGAGAAATGAAGGGCTGTGCAGGGTTTCTGCGACTCCCCTCTCCCCCCGATTCTGTGCATAGACATTGGAGACCTGATTGGCAAAGAGGATCTCTTTGGGTCATCCCAGCAGCAGGCAGGTGTGGCCCAGGCCACTCACCGGTCAGCGGATGCCTGGGTACAGGCAGGAAAGGGGATGGTGTAGGAGGCGGTGAGAGCTTAAGGTCCCAGACCCACCGCCGCCGCCCACTGTAGATAAGGTCCAGACCTTCGGGGAGCTAGCCCCGCCTTTCTCATCTGTGACGTCACTCCTGTGGACCACTCAACGGCCACCCCGACCCGCTTCCCAGGAGCCGATTGGTCGGTCTATGGAGCAGCAGAAGGCGGGAATTGCTATCGCTGGAAGGAAAGCGCTAGGGAGGCGGTTGCCAAGGACGCTATAGCGCTTAGTAACTGTGGTCCGCGGAAGACAAGCTAGGTCCTAGAGAAGAAAGAGGTGAGAAGCAGCCCAAGTGGTGAGCCCTGGTGATTCTTCCGCCTCTCCTGCAGCACTTGATTCTGAGCTCTTTGAACTGCAGAGAACTTGGTAGTCATTCTAAGGGAGCAAAAAGTGCCTGGGGTGTTAGCACCTGTCCTGGGAAGCCTCCACTTTTATGTCCCCACTCTCTCTAACAGAGCTTCTCCCTTGGAGGATTACCTGGTGATCTTTCCCTCCTTCTGCGCTCTGGGGTAAAAGTTTAAATGTCTCTCTTCCTCTCCCTCGCCTCTCTCTCCCTCCACCTCCCCTCTCCCCGTCTCTGTCCCTCTCCTTCTCCCTCTCCCTCTCTCCTGTCTTTCTCTGTCTATCTCTGTCTCTGTCTCTGTCTCCACCACCCCTCGAATTTTTCCCCTTAATACCCATACTGTTTCGTCCAGGCTGGATCACCCATCCATGTAACCTCCTTCCAACACTGTAATGGGAGTTTGTATTTTACAGATGAAGCCACTGAAGTTTGGAGAAGTTAACTGACTTAAACACAGTCACCCAGTAGCAGAGCTTGCGCTACAACTCAGATCTGTCAAACTTCTGCCATGAGTTAGCCTTCTCACCACGTGAGCGGAAGTCACTGAGTTGCTTTGGTCACCATCAACGCTAAGGAAAATACAGCTCTCTGTTCATCATTCCCGGTGTTTCTTGTGTGACACTCCACTAAAGGGAGTTGGTTGCTGGTCCTCAGCTTTGCCCCTTCAGAAACCTGGTTCTGTCAGAGTCTCAGGTTTGACAGAAGCCCAGGCCAACTGACCTCAGGGAGCCTACATAACGCCACCAGGGCTTACATCTAGCAACATGGTCCCTCTGCAAATGAAGATAAGCCCAGAATATTGTCCCTAAGTAGGAAAACTACAGAAAACCCCTAGTCTTCTGTTCATAAAACTGTATGCGGAACTCAACAAGCCAAGCCCAGTCTCCTGTACCCCACACCAGTGCTGTCAAATTGTTTTTCTATATTCTTTATCAGCACCATTCAGCTTCACTCTGAGCTACGGATATTACTATTTTTCTTTCAGGATAGTGTGCTGTATTTTGTATTAATTCTCAGAATTCAAGGTGGACTTCTTATCCCCTTGGACTGTAGACAACACAGTTCATACTAACATAGTTGTCGAGTCAGTAGGCTGGCAACCATTCTAAAATAGATTTAGTTACCTGCAAACTTCTTGCTATAATGTGAAATGCCCAATACCATTGATAATTGCATATCAAATTCAATGTCTGATTTTTTTAAAGTGATGAAATTATAGCATAATTTGGTCTTTTGAGTGATCCTTTAAGTAAATTTTTAAACCTCAGATTAAAATTCCAGGTTAAACTGGTCAGCTTTGGTCTTCACAGAAAGAATTGAATGATTTAAAAAATAATTTAAATACTCTCAAAAGATCATTCCTTAAGTATTCAGTCTTTGTCAGAATTAAGGGATTAGTTCTCACCCTTCCACTTTATTTAGCAGTGGAGACCTCTGATGATGCTTATTTGCCTCATTGCTAAAGGGAATAAAGCAAAAAAACCTGCACTTAAATATTCCACTTCACTTTTCTCAGCAGCCCCAAAAGTTCAACAATGTGTGTGTGTGTGTGTGTGTGTAGGATGTGTGTGTGCATGCTAAAGAGTAGATAATAGAAAAATAAAAGAGGAAAAGAAGTAAAAGAGATATCTAGGAGTGTGAGTGTATTGGAAGGAAGGGGGAACATTTAGAAAAAAGAAGAGTTGTCTTTATAGTCAACTGGCTCTAATCTACTTATTCCAAATCCTCTTAATTCTGCAATTGCATTTCATAGCATTTTATACAGGAAAATTGGAAATATTTGCATTCTGGAAGAGGCAATCAAAATATTCACCACCTTCATTTTAGAATATATCTGTTCTTGAAGTGTATTCATCATTGTTATCAGAAATTACTTAAACTTGAGTCATTTATAGGAAATGGATACACCTTGAGACCATAATTTTAAACGAAATAAATCAGACATACAAGCTGAAATATCACAGTTTCTCTTATATGAGATGAGAAACCTAAAAGACAAATAAAAAGCAAAATGAAAGATAGACAATAGGAAGTAGGGAGAGATCTTTCTCAAAGGGCATCAAGAGATGGAAGGAGAGAAAGGGAATGGAAAGGGGATAAAAAATTAAGATGTGTTATGTACATGTACCAACTCCACACAGGGGATGAAAACATTATGTATTGCTAACGTGTGCTCATAAAAAGAAAAGAAATTACTTAGGGACAAATTTGCACTATTTTCTTCAAACTTACACTACCAATACCCATGGTATGGTCTCCTTGAGTTCTGCTTTGGGAAGTGTTGCTTTTGGAAATAGCGATGCCAACCTATGAACTTGGATCTGGTATCCAAATAAGTGTAAGACACAGACTACAACAATAATGGTTACAGAAAGGGGCCCTGTGGGGGATTAATTAGGAAACTTAACTGGCTATGTAATATATTCACTGAAAATTTGTATCATGAGCAACAATGAGAAAGTCATATCAGTTGTCGCTGCAGTGTTTTGCTTATGTTACTAGGCTATTTATAAGGGTGTGTGTTGAAATCAGGCTTTTTAATTGCACAGATTTTTTCATAGCATGGAATTGCAGGGCACACCTTTTGGGTGCAATTCCAGAGAGCCAAGGCATGTGTACTCAGCCAAGGTTCGCTATCATCATTTGAGCCACTTGTTTAAATAGAATAGCTGCAGTTCAAGAGATTAAATGGCTTTCCCAGTGTCATATTATTGCTTGTGATTTCCTGACCATGGGGAAAGTGGGCTTCCACAGTGCTCTTTGTGTTATCTCATTATATATGTTTTGACATGTTACCTTTCTCATTAAATGAGTTCTGTGAAACCAGGGACTTGACCAATTTCACATTATCCAGAAGGTAACAGTCAGAGTTCCTCATAGGACTGCCTGACCCCAAAGCCTATGATCTTTTTCCATATCAAAGTCTGTACATTCTTCTTCTTATGCGTTCTTTTTGTCCTTAGCACCCACCATCAGGTCTTGCCTCTGCTATACACGTGATATGTGGTGAATGAATGAATGAAAGAATGAAACGTCATAGATCTAGAAAGAGGGACCATATTCCCTCTTGGCACTTACTGGTTCTCCAATTTGTAAATCACTCCAGGTCAGTTGGATTGCTTCATAAAATGAGGATAAAGATTTTTCATTTGCCCCTAAGAAATAGAATTAGGTACTCTATAGAAATTCTTTCCACAGAATAAAGTTCATATGATCACGTGTAAACAATTCTGGGACAACCCGTTGCGAGTGGTATCTACTTCCCTAGAGGTTGGCAGTAAGCCTTGCTTCTCTTTTTATCCTGGGAGAAATAAAATTCAAGGAAAAAGTAATCCAGATTGGAGTGGAATAGTTTAGATGGAGAAATCGGCAACCATTCAGAAGCTAAGGCTGCACAGTTAATTGATTTTCCTGCCTTCTAACTCTCTTTATATGACCTGGGACTACAATCTGAAATTTAATCTTAACGTTTCATTCTGAATGTCCTGGTATTTACAGCAGTCTATGTCATAAATTAATCATCAATGACAACAACAAAAATGATTCATATTAACTGTTGTACTGGGATCCTAGCAACCTACAGAAGGAGATAAAAAACACACAAAAAATATTTAATGGAAGAAAAACAATTTGGTTTAATGTCATTAACAGTCATAAAATGGTAAATGTAGGCTAAACATAGTATTAGGTCATGGATTATATTTTATACTATTGATGGCAAAGAAATAGAAAACTATATCAAGGCTACTTAAAATATCTAATATAGTAAGATCTAAAGTCATTGTGTAATATGTTCCCTAAGAGTCTATAGAAACTACATATTATTAAAGAACTATGACTGCTAAAAAAAGAGGGATACCAACTGGTCTAAGAAGGCTAATTTTTATCAGAGATGCACTGCATTTCATCCAAATAAATCAATAGGACCTTTATTCATTCAGGAAAAAATAACTTCTGGGCTCAGCTGCCATTGCCAGGATGTTAGAATTTTGTCAAGGAGACACGGCCTGTCAAAGAAAATCAGAGTCAACACCACTAATCTATTTTCACTCACACAGTTGTTAAATATTTCTTAGCCCTCAGTAGCACGCAAGGCAATGAATTATTTGTGGTAATTAGGGATGGTGTGTAGGAACTGGCTTATCCTGACCTAGAAGAGGCTTGTAGGGATTTTGCAAGTTGATTGTAAGGCACAGCTACTATTAAAAACTAAATTATATAAAGATACTAATTAATCAATTATATAAAAGCAATGGTAATAAATATGTAAATCTCTTCACTTTCTGATTATTGTACTATACTTTTTAACCTCAAATTTATTTTATGTATTGTATCTTCATCATGGAAATACCACTGTATATTGTGACTTACTGAAGATCTAGTCCCAACTCTGACTGCAGTGGCATCCCATTTGTAGCTTGAAATGACCCTGGTGGGACTACTTATGGTCTAGAAATCATCAAAAGCTACAGATCAATATTTATGTATTAATTTTCTTCATCAAGAAAATGATGAAGAAAATACTACAAAATATATGAGAGTTTCTCGTGCCTGTAGCCATTAAATTATGATGAGCACACACACAAAAATAGAAGCTATATTCTTGTATTTGTAAACAATTATTCAATGCAACAAAAATTAGCTTTACTCATGTCATTCCAACACACATCCACTCATTCCAAGTACATCTTTACTTTTGTCCTACTTGCTAACATAAAAATATCACCCAACATTCATGTGTGAAGTCCCCCTGTGCATCAATTGCAAGTATAGGTTGATTAGAGATACAAGAAAAAAAAATCAATAAAAGCATTCTATGAAAACCAGTCGACTTCATGAAACATAACACACGGAGCATTTGCATATTTTATTGTTATTTATAAACTATGTGCTACACATCTTTTAATATCATTAAAATGTTAGTAAACTTACAAATGTACATATTCACCCATATTTTCCAGAGTCAATGACAGAATTCTTCGATCACCGTGCGAGTCTGTCCTCAAAGGTATTACCACCTAGTGGGAAATGGACAAAATTCCCATGGTGTAGGCCCCACTGTGGTCACACTACCAGAAAAAAGCCCAGTCTTTTCGGAGTTCAGAAGAGGAAAAAGCACCATTACCCAGGGAATCCTAAAAGGGTAGTTTACTGCTTATACAGAAAAATCTCATAGATCTTAAGCTGGCATAAGAAGCTTGTGGAAATACAAGTGGATAGATGTGTGTATTTTTATAAAATATGTGAAGCCCTCATTTCAGAATAATTAATAAATTTATTTTTATTGATATTATTGAAAATATTTTATCATTCATTTATAACCTGGAAGCAGTGAGAGTCTGGATTGTGATTTTTTTTTTTTTTTTTTTT